GTAAAATCACATTTGACCTAGTTTGGTCTGGGCTTCTACAATGGACTGTTAGCAGTTCATTTTTATTAAAATCTTATACAAGTGGTATTGGGACAAATCAAGGCGGGAAGCTGCCGTCTCCTATACCTGAGTTAGTGTGAAGCAGACAGAACAGAACAGACATGAGTCAGAAGTGATATTCTGAAGAGAAACTAAATGAAAATATGGCCACAGGAACATAAGGGCCCCAACTGGCGGAGAAGATAGGATAAGCAGACATGACCTTATACGCTAAGGGTCTATAGAAGGTATGGTGCATTTAAAACCAATTACCTGACTAGAACAGAGAGCAAAGTGGAGTTATGAGGGATGGAAGCCAGGGAATAGCAGGCGGTCAGTGCTAAGGATGGGAGTCTTTATTTTAAGAACAATGATAAGTCATATTTTTCTTTAGGAGGGTGACGTGTTTCAATTACCTTTTATAAATATCACTTGGGCAGCTGTGTGGAGAAGAGATCAGGGCAGTGGGTATCAGGGTGGATGAAGGGAGAATATCCAGGCAGCTACTACTGGAGTCCAAAGGAGATATGATGAAAGAAATGAAGGAGGTATATGGATGCAAGAGTCATTCTGGAGCTAAATTGATAAGATTTACTAGATGGATTGGATATTGATGATTAAGCAAAGAAAAATGTGAACAATAAGTTCAAGTTTTCAAGAGTGTCAACAGGCCGAAGGATAATGTTATTAATTAAGATAGAGCACCAGGTTAGTGTGAAAAATTATGAATTTCCTTTTAAACATGTTAGGTTTGCAATGCTTTTGAAAATTTAAATGAAGGTGTTGAGCAGGCAGTTGGCTATCTAAAGTAACTCAGAGAAGAGGTGTGGAGTGGATATAAATGAAGGAGTTAAGAGCACACACATGGCCATTGAAGCTTTGGGCATGGGTGACCTGTGGAGGGGGAAAATACAGAATGAGAGGAAAGGAAGTACTTTGAGGTTTTAGGAGCATCAACAATTAAGGATTGGTAAAGAAAGGATGAGATAGTAAAGGAGACTGAGAAAGAATGGTTAAAGAAATGAAAGCCAGGAGTATATTTGGGATGGGGGATGGGGGGGGAGGAGAAGTTTCTCAAAAGATAGAAGAGAAATATCTGAAAGGCAAAAACAGCCAGTGATGCCTTTTGAAAGGTCAAGTAGTCACAGAGGCTGATATGTCAGCAAGAATTTATCAGAAGGTCATTAGTGACCTTGAGGAGAGCTGTTTCTGTGAACTAATGATGATGAGAACCAGAAAATAAAGATGGCAAGTATCATCAATTTTTCTGAAAATTTTGGTTGTGATGAAGAGATCAGGTGCCTGTCAAATGAATTTGTATAATTAGGCTATTAATTTTTAAGAAGTTTATACTTTAAGATGAAAGGGGTTTGAACATGGAAAGAGAAGGAAACCAGTGAAGCAGGGATTTGATCACAGAGGTAGGAGGAGAGACAGATGACAGTAACAGGGAAGAGCAATTATAAAAGCTAAAATCTTGATTCAGTCTTAATTAAAATGAAAAGAAATTATAAGTTCTGGGGGAACTGGATAAGAAGATTTCAAAAGAAATAATCTTGTTGACGTAGCTTGGTCATTTAAAATGCTATGCTGGTTGTTTCCCTTCTGACAAAAGAAGGTAGAGGAGGTCAGAGAATATTTTCATCCCAATGACCAAGGAGCTGCCTTAGAAACCAGCTAGAAAAGTTTTGACTTAAGTTCCAAAATTTACATGCTATGTCTTATTATCATGAATTATAGCTTCTCTCTTTAATCTTATTTTTTTTTAAAGGCAAGAGGCTTTCAAAGATATTTAACTCTTAACTCCAAAATTCTGTTTGATCCCCAGATCTTAACCTCTCACCATAAAACTAATGTATATCATACATAAAATGATACCTGTTTGAAAAAAATGCTTTTTTTCTCTCTGTTTGGTATAATATATGGTTATTTTAGAAAATTAAATTCTCTCATTTAATCTCTAATTGAACTCACCAGTCTCATGCTAATTGATACAGAATTACATGCAGCTATAGTTATAGGTGTAGATGCAGAAATAGATATAGACATAAACACAATCTTATATAGTCTTAGCTATAGATAGATGTATACATATAAATATAGATAAAGGTGTGATATCATGGGTTCTTCTGCTGACAAAAAAGCTTGACACCCTTCTTAAGGCAGCTTACATCAAACCTGTAATAGATTTTAATCCAAATACAATCCCAACACAAATTTTTAATCTAAACACAAATAAGTTTGATTTTTCCATATTCTGTAAGTCAAGAAAGGAACAACTGGGGGAATGGGGATGATCCATGGTGTCAAAGGCCACAGAGAGGTCAAGGGGGGAAAAGGTTGAAGAAAAGGACTCACTCCCACAATGGCTGGGAAGTCTGGCGGTCTTTTCAAATGTGCTGCAAAGACAGGGGTGTGTGAGAGAAAATGAAATCTCTGGGAAAGATTTGGTGATGGGAAAAATGAAGGTTCACAAAATGAACAGAAAAGAGAGTAAGAGTGTTAGTATTAAGGGGCAATTCTGTTACAGAAGACATGAGAAAGGGAAAAGAGAGGAGGAGACAAGTGTATAAGTGAGGGATAAGGGAAATAAGGTTAGCACTGAGCTATTAGCTAGTATTAAAAACCATAGTCCCCCATTTTTATATTTTTGACCTATTTTCATTTTCTTTGTGTTCTTCTGGGGACAAAGATTTCTTTTTTAAGCCTTTGCTTCTTTTATCATTTAATAATTGCTTCTATTTTTCAGCTTTGACTAAAAAGGCTCTTTTTCAGCCCTAGGAATACACTGGCATTAAAGGTGAGAAACAGAAGCTTACTCTGAGCTCTTCCAAAGAAAAGCATTTTAGAAATCAAAGGCATTGCTGTATTGTTATTATTCCCTCCTTCCCCTGAAAGCTTGGCATGACATTAGCTCTGATCCTCAAAGAGAAATCTTTCAGTTTAGCCATTATATTAATAATCTGTGCCTCTAAAAAAAGGAATGGATAGCTAAATTGATCAACCTAGTCCAATAATCTTCTCTTTCCCTTAGTTCTGGTGCTATGGACCTAATCCAGGAAATAGAAATAGGAGCATTGTGACTCATTTTATCTTCCATGTAAATTACATCCAGCAATGCATAAATTGTAAGGGCATATAGCCAAGCACTACCAGTTCTATGCAAACAGAGATCCAGAAGCTCAATGGGCATTGAAAGCATGAGATAGTAACTCATGAATAATCCTTCTGTATTTTTACACAGTTATATAACCAGTTTCTAATTGCAATGATAATTTACATTAATATTGGAATAATACATAGAAGATGAACATAAGTTTTTGGAGATAATAAATATTTCTAAGTACCAGTTATTATCTATTAATACAAAATTGGATGGGTCTTAAAATACTCAGGAAACAATAGTAACTACCAAAACTCCTAGTTAATATTTCCCCCACTTCGGTAGCTCCATGAAAGGTATCACTCATAAAGAGAAAGCTAACTGCCTGAGGGAAAAGAAGGTTATAAACTAGAAACATAATCCATACTTGGCAGTTCATATAATTGGAAGTCACCTATAGATGAGGAGGCTTAAAAAGAAAATATTTTAACAGATAAGGTAGATGTAATTCCAAGTTGTGATTGTTCAACATGTTTAATAATTATGCATATATGAATAATATCAAATATATGCAAATATATTTTCTGCACAGCAGATGAAAATTTTGGGAAATAAAGCAATCTAATACTAAACAAACACATTGTTTAATAAACTCTTGTTTCCAATTGTTGAATTGGAAAAGGAAGACCCATTGGAACACGGAAATGTTTGGTGGAGATATTCTAGGGGCTGATGACATAAAAAAACAATTTTGGATCCCCTAAAGCAAAACCAAATCAGAGACTTATTTTTCTTTGTGTGGTAGAGATGGCATAGACTGTAGGAGTTCTCCACATGTGTCTGCTTCTTTGAAGGTCATGGTAGGCTCCATTTTTGTGCACTGATATACCCCCAGATCCTAGAACAATATCTGGCACACAATAATCACCCAATAAGTTAAATGATTGTTGACATTCCTAGCATGGATTTTGTAGAACAAGGTGCCCTCCACATGGTCTATAATTTTAGTTATAATTATTGCTAGTGACAAAACATTGAAGTATAAACAACCCTTTTATCCCTTAAAGTTTACGAAGAACTTGCCAGTCATATCCTCACCCAGTCATACTGGTTCATCACAGCCTGGAGGCAGTGGTGCACCGGGAGTCCATAGCGGAGCCCAGCCTGGTGCTGGACTCCGTTCTCTCCTCTGCTGCTTGTATGGGTTGAATTGTGTGCCCCCAAAATTCATATGTTGAAGCCCTAACCCACAGTGCCTCAGATGCAACTTTATTTGGAAATAGGGACAACGCAGATGTAATTAGTTAGGTTAGGAGGAGGTCATAATGGAGTAGAAAGGGCCACGTATGTTATATGACTGGTATTCTCTTAAGAAGGGGAAATGTGGACAGACAAGCCCTCAGGGAGAACACCATCTAAAGATGGAGGGAGAGATCTGGATGATGCTTATACCAACTCAGAAATGCCAAAGGGTGCCTGAAAACCACCAGAAACTGGGAGAGAGTGTAGAATAGATTCTCCCTCTCAGTGCTCAGTGGGAACCAACCTTGCCGAAGTCTCGGTCTTGGACTTCTAACCTCTGGAACTGTGACAAACATTTTTGTTAAGCCACCCAGTCTGTAGGACTTTGTTACAGCAGCCCTTAGCAAACGAATACAGCTACATATTCCTTGCAGACTTCCTACCAGACGCACTGGTACCCTGACCTCACTCCCACTGGGCACCGTCTTATTCAGCACTCAGAGTTCACAAGACAGCCTCCGATTTATTGCAAAGATTCTGCAATTATACATTGTCAAATTCCAACACATTCTTCCATCAAGTTACCCAGCAATTACACCTGACACCTTTCCCTTACCTTCTGCTTGCTCCCATGCTTGGAGTGGCACTGCAACCAGGAGGAGGTGGCGGAAACCAGGACTGTCTGTTAGGAAACGACATCATTGATAAACATGGTGCTTGAAAGACCTGATCCCACCCACATGTCTACCAGGAAAGGCTGAAAATAATTTGACAGTTAAAAGGCATTGAGATGTCTTTTCTATAAGCCTTGGAAATAAAATGAAAACTATTTCATCAACTCAATAGGAAGTAACTAGCCTACAATCTAGGCTCTCTGCTCACAAGTAAGCTCCTTTCCCTGCTTTCCTGACATGAATATGTGGACATTTCTTAAAGAGAAACATGAAAAGAATCTGGAAAATAATATTTGTTAAATCTAACTAGTGGGTTCATCAGTGTTTATCATCAACATACTTCTTTTTCTCTTTATTTTTTTGCATATCTGAAATATTTTATAATAAAAAACAATCTACTCTAAATATGGTTTTTAAAAAGCTACATGATAAAAATCTCTGAAAGTAAGAATAATGAAAACATATGTGAATGTCACAGTAATATTAACCTCAATTATATATACATATATGTATATAAATATATATCTGTGTATATGCATAAATATAAACACATGAATATCCAATTAGAAAGATGTCTTCACATTCCCAGGATGTAATTTTAACTGATAGAGATAGCTAAGGGCTCTGTCAAAAAGACTTAGATATGGACCAAAAATAAAGACATTCAGAGGAGAGTGACATATCAGAGGAAAGCCCAGAGAAGGAAAGTCTGGGATAAGGAGAGAAGGAGAGCTGGCTTTAAATTTCTGAAGCAGGTCTATTCTCTGAGGCACTACAGGACTGAACTAAGATTTTTTTTGTTTTGTTTTGTTTTTTATTCTTTTTTTTTTAATTTTTTTTTTTTACTGTTTATTTTTTATTTTTGAGACAGAGACAGAGCATGAACAGGGGAGGGGCAGAGAGAGAGAGGAGACACAGAATCTGAAACGGGCTCCAGGCTCTGAGCTGTCAGAACAGAGCCCAACGTGGGGCTCAAACCCATGAACTGTGAGATCATGACCTGAGCTGAAGTCGGACGCTTAACCGACTGAGCCACCCAGGCGCCCCTGAACTAAGATTTTAAAAATGGGCATAAATCAAAGCATATTTCAGCTCAATGTAAGTAGTCAATGCTACTCACAAGAGCTAGTCAAATGTATATCACAAAAATAAGAGTCTTATTGCTGGCTTCAATGATCCTGAATTATGTCTAACCTGCCAGAGGAAAGATTCTTGCAGTGGGTAGGAGATGTGAAATTTGGGTCCAAGAGAAAGGTGATCACATTTTCTGAGACTCTGCAGACACAACCAGAATTCCAGCTACAGAAGCATTTTTGGCAAATATCCAGTCTATCAACAAACATTGAACACCTACCCTACACTAGGCACGGTCCTAGGTGCAGGCAAAGAAAATAAAACATTTTAGAAGTACTGAAGTTCATGAACTTGTTTTTCATTGGATCATGATTCACTAGCACCGTGTTCTCTTCAGCAAGCAAAAATTGCTTCCACCGTCACGCTCTGTCTCATGAAGAATATTCTGCCACCACAGGTCTACCTAAATAAATCGAAGTCAGCACAAGCAGAAGGTGGGAGGCCAGGCAGAGGATTTCAGAGAAGGAAGAAATAAACACACAAACACAGATTGATGTCTCAAGATAGGGCCTTTGACTCTACTTGGAAATAGGGTCAACACAATCTGCAGAGGAGGCAGCAGCAACGCAGGCTGAACGCAGGAGCATGGCAACATTTGTCCACACCACAGCCATTATTTCAGGGTAAGGCATCCCCTGTCACAGGGCTCTACTAAAAGTGCTACCTGAGGTAGCTTACCCTTTGGTGACCTCTGTCATTGAAAATATTACCTAGGTATTCAAGACCCCAAGGGAGCTGGAGAAAAGACTGCATCTTTGAAAAGGAAATTAGGGGGAAAAGGAACAAAGTTTGAGGACATCAGAATCCAGTAGGCATTGGATCCCTCAAAAGGGAGGAAGAAACAATGATGAGAGAGCAACTTCTGAATGCTGCCTGCAGATCTTGGTAGATGATTTGGTTCAGAAATTAATAAAATACAGCCCTCTCCAGAATATCGACAGGAGGCAGATACAGCAAGCCCATCATACCTCTTTTTCTTTACAGGAGTTGTAGCAGAGGCAGGAGCCGGGGGGTTGGTGGTGTTTCCACTGAACGAACCTCCAGTTTGCCTGTGTAATCACAACAAACCACATTCTTGAAACTTTTTTATGCGGTCCCACCTTTGAAAGGTCTTATAATCTACTCATATTCCCACCTACTCTCTAACCACCACAAAATGTTTCAATGACAAAGGAAGGACAGAAAACAAGTTCTTCCTTAGTGTACCTATTTTATGAATCCTCAGGTCCTCATCTAAGTAATTAGAACTGAAGGAACTGAATTAAGTCATTCATTATATGACATTGTGTGTCTGAAATCCAGACCAACGAATTCTCATGTGCTCTGGGTTCATAATATATATTTAATATTGTATATATTGTGACTAACAGAATTATATTGCAATTTTTTGCATTAAAAGCACTAGGCTGTTGGGGCACCTGGGTGGCTCAGTCCGTTAAGTGTCTGACTTCGGCTCAGGTCATGGTCTTCACAGTTTGTGAGTTCGACCCGTGTCAGGAACTGTGCTGACAGCTCAGAGCCTGGAGCCTGCTTCAGATTCTGTGTCTCCCTCTCTCTCTACCCCTCCCCATCCCTGCTCATGCTCTGTCTCTCTGTCTCTCTCAAAAATAAATAAACATTAACAAAAAATTTTAAAGCACTAGGTTGTTTAAGAAAACATTTAAAAATCACACCATTTTAAATCTCTATTTAGCATTTATTAATGTACATAGACCTTCAAAAAAAAAAATGGAAGTGACCCAGGCCTGGTTCAACTACTGACAGGTGTGCTCCAACATGAAAATTCCTTAATTTTAAACAAAAATTTAAAAACCAACCCTGTTTTCAAAAATCCACCTAGTTTGGCTGTTTATAATCACCACTAGTACGTTCCAGAGAGAATGTACTTCATCTAAACAGATTGCTAGCAAATCTATGATTTCATGACTCAGATGAATTGTAACATGATGGGTGTTTTGAAAGACAAGTGATAGTGGTCATAAAAACAAGGAAAAATAAAGTTCTGTGGGGGAAAAATAAACAATAAAATATACAATGGGAATTAGGGAGGGCACTTGTTGTAATGAGCACTGGGTGTTGTATATTAAGTGATGAATCACAAAATTCTACACCTGAAACCAGCATTACATGTATGTTAACTAACTGGAACTTAAGTGTTAAAGTCCAAATAGTAAATATTTAAAGCTTCGTGGACCATTTCCTTCTTTCTACCTAAACTCTGAATAAGCAACAGGAGGGTGATTTTGTTATAGTTGAAACTTTGGCCTGAGCAGGGTATACCTGGTTTATCTTGAACACATACAAAGAAATACACTTTATTCTTAAAATGTAACTTCAGTCAGTACATACGTCTTTGCTGCTTCTGGTGATCGAAACGTGGACGTGTTTCTGGTAAAAAAAAAAAAAAAGAAAAAGAAAGGGGGGGCAAAAATTTGAGCAGCCACAAAGAATAAGTACTTGCATCAATTTGCAACTGTCCATGAATTTAGAATTGTTATTTAAAGTTAGACATTATTTGATAGAAAGAAAAAGAAAGCATCAGTATTTGAATCAATTTGATAAGGTGATCTTTTTGCCTTATGCTAGATTCTAAAGGAAATCTTTTTATATCAGAAAATTCAGTATCGTTTAAGCCCAATGCTTTTATTTGTGGAGTTCAGGGATTTTCTTTAGCAATAAGAATGTAAAATTGGCATTTACATGTATTTCACACTCTTGTCACCAGGATGACTTAAAACAAAAACATGAATGTCATAAGAACAATGACCTGAAGCAAGGGCTCTCTTGATTTTTAAGCAAGGCAACAAAGATTTTCTATTTCTCTAACCATGAGGAGGAACAATGGTTTTCACTCCAGAATTTTTGTGTTTAAAAAATGGAGGATAAGAATTTACAGAAAGATATCAAGTAGGACAGAAGAATTGTAAGTAAATAAGTAATGCTTAGAAAACTATTGTACTTGGGTCTTTCCCAAAGTCAATAGATACTGGTACCTATTGGTTAGTCGGTTATCCAAGGTATTGGCCTTATATGTGTTAGTGGCATCATTTCTGTCTGAGATCCTTTATAAAGAAACAAGACAAAAGTTTGGATGAACATTCAGATCATTAAAGTCCTTTCAGACCTTTTTCACGAAAGAATAACTTCACAATATAACCTTTCACTAGTAAAGAGATTTGTTTTCAGGTGTTACATTTTAGAATAGTTTGCAATTAAACAAAAACTACTTAAACCAAAATCTATTTATGAAGCTATTTTGATACAGCTTGGAATTTTTTAAATTTATGTTTTTCTACTAGCCTCTCTGATTCACTGAGCATTTAACTCACTATTTTATATTCTTTATTGTTTAATAATACAGTTGACCCTTGAACCACACGGATTTGAATGGCGTGGGTCCACTTATATGCAGAATTTTTTGATAAGTACAGTACAGTATTGTAAATGTATTTTCTCTTCCTTATGATTTCCTTAATAACATTTTCTTGTTTCTAGCTTACTTTATTGTAATGATTCAGGATAGGATAAATATAACACACAAAATATGTGTTAATCAACTGTTTATGTTATCAGAAAGGCTTCTGGTCAAGAGTAGGGTATAGTAGTTAAGTTTTGGGAGTCAAAAGTTATATGTGGATTTTCAATTGCACAGGGGTCAATGCCCCTAAACCCTGTGTTGTCAAACATACATCCAGCCAATGACAGTACTTCCCAAGTCTGTAAAACACATCAATGGAAGACAAGTATTTTTCTAAATATTTTGTGGCATAGACAATACTATATGTTTGCCAAACTCATTTTCGTTTCCTACTGAGCACACAGGAAGACCACATTTCCCATTCTTCATTGATATTAGTTGGGGCCATGTGATTGAGTTCTAGACTAAAGAATGTGAGCAGAAATGTTGTTTGCACTTTCAGACCCATCCTAAAACCTCTTGTGTAATTATCTATGCTCTTTCTTCCTCTTCCTCTATAGTTTTTGGTTGCCCTGTGTTGAAGATGGAAGCATCAAAACATGAAAAGAACTTAGGTCAGTTGACTTCGTGGAGCTGAGGCATCCCCTATGCTTCTAGCCTAACACACTGGACTCTGAAGAGAATGAACACTAATCTTCTGTTGTGTTAAACCACAATAGATTTGGGGGCAATAGAGGGAACTCGTTAAAAGAGTCACTCTACCCTGGTGAATTAGTTTACTGTAACTAACACATTGAGTTAATAGCCCCTACTGGCCATTAAATCTCAGGTCTCCTAGATGTGTCTGTCCCTTGTGTCAGAAAAGACAAATCAGGAATCCCATACTGCAGACCCTCCTTCCCTTTCTTCTCTCACGTCAGATAGGATAGGAAGTTTCTTCCTGAGACACGGAGCTATCCTGGGGAGCATTCTGCAGGCTTGCACAAAACTAGGATGTAGAAAAATTAGGTTCAGGAAAACAAAAGGTCAGCAAAACTTTTCTATTGATCCGACATTATGGATCTACTATAACTTTCTCTAAACTTTTAATTTTACTGTCAACTTTAGTACATGACTTTATATAAGCTACTCTTGGAAAGATGGGCACTAATTTTGCCTCATTCTAAAAAATAATTAATGTGGGAGAAAATATGATTTAACTGTCATAAATTTAAAATGATTTCAATTCATAATGTCATCTTGATATGTGTAACTAAAATATGGGGTAAATAACTCTAATACATTAAAATGCTATGAGTTAACTCCAAACAAGGTTTGTTTATAGTGCATAATGCCACAAATTGATAGCTCTTGAATGCAAAAAGGAAGGAAGGTTGAAATCTTCCAGAGCTCCATATTCTCAACAGACTGTTCACAATATAGGCTTTAACTTGTACAGGCTCCTAGAATCCATGTATAAAAAACTCATATCTAAGGTGATCGTCAGGCAAAGGACTATTAATATATACCTTTCACTAACTGCTACTGAGCCTCTGGGATGTTTATATTTAAAGGGCTCTGCAATAAACCACTATGGGTACCATAAGTAAGATGTCAGATGACTGTAAATCTTAAATCTTAAATGTTCCTTGGAGGGGTGCCTAGATGGCTCAGTCAGTTAAGCATCCAGCTATTAATTTTGGCTCAGGTCATGACCTCATGGTTCATAAGACTGAGCCCCACATCGGGCTCAGTGCTGACAATGTGGAGCCTTCGTGAGATTCTCTCTCTCCCTCTCTCCCTCTCTGCCCCTCCCCCACTCTCACACATGCTCTCTCAAAAATAAATAAATAAACTTTAAAAATAAAATAAAATTAAAAAGAATTAAATGTTCCTTGGAAACTCTACTCGGACTTTATAGCTATCTATGAGACCCTAACATGAGACAAAAGTAATCTTGGGAAATTCCTACTCTGGTACATGGAAAACAACAATTTATCTAAAGTAAACAGATCCTTAATATCAAACATTCTCAATGTTTAAATAAAGGCAAAGTCTGATGTTAAAATTAAATGAAATTACTCAAAATGCTACAGTGTAAATCTATGTAGGCAGTAGTGCATGTAATAATAAAAATAGCTACCTACTCTTTGCTGCTTACTGTATACATGTTAGTCTCTACTCTAAAACATCCTCACAAGGGAGGTATAATTATTTTCATTTTATAGATGAAGAAATGGAGTCTCAGAGAAAGTGAGTGACTTTTTCTTGGTCACCCAACTAGGAAGTGGTTTGTCTCCAAAATCGTCCCAGTAGAGCCCAATGTCCTACATCTAATTTTGTAGTGTGATAGTTTCAACACTCATCTGTTGGGTCAACATGTCTTCCTTCACTTACTGTTCTTCACCTCCAGGATCTCTTCTATGCCACTAGGGGGATCAGTCTATGAGTAATAGTGGAGGGAACTGTAAACCACCATTCCAATACATATGTCAGTTTCTTATTAGGAAGATTAACTTTACTTTGTATTTCTCTTGAAAATTAAGTTTTTTCCAACTTGTGTATGGAATAGGTTGTTTTGAGAAGCGTCAATCTTAGAAACAGTAAATACCCAAATATGGTAATTAGTAGCATGATCAAAAGACCCAAAGGAAAAGTTACATTTCCACAAGAGAACACTAGAGGTCACCCTAACCTAGGTTTTTCAAATTAGTCAAACCACCTTTAGGATTTGGGCCATATTGCATGCTACATACGTAGTTATTTACTTATGTTTCTTTAGAACACCTCATACTTTAACCTACATATATATTTTTAAAAATACAACTCCAAAGTACTTTTCTTCTATTCATTTAAAATAAATGCATTATTTGGAGCATGTGACTTTTGATCTCAGGGTTGTAGATTTGAGCCCCATGATGGGTGTATAGATTACTTGAAAACAAAATTTTTTTAAAAATTAAAATTAAGTAACAAATAAAATAAATGCGTTCTTGAAATGCATATGCACATGTGTACCAGATGTTGGTTGGTCATCTTCCTCCTAAAATTATTTCATATCTTACTTTTAGAGTGGCCAGCGTTATGAAAATCTGACTCCTGCTAATAGGACTTGCCTTTCTGTACTGATTCCTGAGTTCTCTTCATCACATCTATTTCCACACTTAGAGGATGTAGCATACTATTGGAACTCAGGACTTCCTGGGGAATGAGCTGACCAAACATGCCACTAAACTTCTGGGTAAATAAACCGGGTAATCTCTGGCCTCATTTTCTAGTGTATAAAATGAAGGACTTTTGGGCTAGATTAGTGGTTCTGAATTTTGGTTGCACATTAGAATCACTTCATAAGTATTAAAAATGCCTGACTCTCACCTCAGACTAATTAAATCAGAGTTTTGGGGGTGAGGGGTGGTGGGACCAAGTTATCAGTAAAGTTTCAAAGCTCTCTCAGTGATTCTAAATTGCAGCTGAGGCTGAGAACAACTCAACTGATTAGTCTGTAAGGTCTAGTCTAATTCATTGCTAATGAATGAATTAGGCTCTGTCTTGACTGGCCTAATACAGACCTTCAAATACACAGCTTACAAAGCCTTCCACCTATTGCCCTTTCTTAAGGCATAATTATCTCACTTCCAGATTCATTCCTAGAAATAGGGTTTCCATCTTCAATTAATGGTGCAACAGGACAGCCCTCAAGGCCACCATGAATGGACAGTTATTTTGACTCCTCTTTCCACTCAGTGCCATGGAGATGAGATCTTGCGCAAATACTCTACACACTCATTTTTGTTGAGGCTATTAATTACAAGAGAGAAATTAACTTCTTAGGAACACCAGTGTGGATTAGCCTGTATTAAAGAAACTGGTTTGAAAACCTGTGAATAGTGCAGAAGTATATACATTTCCTACATGAATTAATACTGGCAAATACTGAGTATAGAATCTATAAGATACCATAAATTACAGCACATCTGCTTACAATACAGCAGGTGGCATTTTTGTCTACAATGACAGCATATCTTTAGCTACAGAGAATGACCTCAACTGTCAATGGTCTCAGGTGTCCATTGTCTAGACTCCAACTAAAGATGTTAACTTTACTCTTTATATGCTTATTAAGTATCACTACCAAATATAAAATAAAAGTGTGATTTGTAGCATTTACACTTCAATATAAATAGACATTGCTCAATTTTCTCCATAGAAATGAGCCCTTTCCCTCTGTGTAGGAAGGAACTAACAACAGGCACAACACAATGGACCCTTCTATAAGCCATATGGGAACTCTACTGCTGCCACAAAAATAGTTTCACCTTGTAAAGAGCTAATGGCTTTATACTAGAGAGGATAAAAGTGATTGTATTATTATAATTTACAGTCTCTCCATAAAAACAGAAACTGATGTTCTTCCACCAGGGGGATGGAAAGACCAAAAGTCAGAATGAGAACTGACTACTCATATTCACAAAAATAACTAGATTCTCCATTTTAAACCAAAAAGTTTCCATGGAGTGTCCACCCTACTCATAACCAAACCAGTTTCTTCAGAATTGTTTTTATCAATCTAATATTGGCAAGATTTTAGGAAAACAGAATATTGAGTCAAGATTTTGTGAATTTTGAAGAAGGTAATTTGATCTGAATAGCCCTTCTGTCCCTGGATATAAAATATCTTGTTCAAAATTTACTTTTGCAAACATTTAAATACCTCATGCTTGACAAAAAAAGGGGATTTAATACACATTATGCATTCTGCTTACATGATTAAAAAAACATCTTACCTGTCTAAAGTGTCATCAGATCTGTATCGACTAATTGTAGCTTTTGGCTCATCTCTCTCATTTGCTTTCCTGTAGCAAAAAATAGTTACAGAAGATCAAATAAATTACCAAAAAGTTTATAACCTATCATGCCTTTGGTAAAATTTTGGCCTATTCAAGTAGGAGATGTACATGTTACCAAGGAAAGACAGCTTCAGAGTATCTAAATCTTCCAAAGTTTTGACTTGGATGGGATAAATTATGGCAAACCCAACTCCCTATGCTAATAAATGAATTCTTCTCTAGGTCCAATTATTTCTAACTTCAATGCAACATATTTAAATTGGAGATAAGGATAGGCAAAACAAACAACATGATATGCAAAATAGTTAATAACTAATATGTACTCTTGTCAATACTGTTGACTTTTACATCATAGGACTTAAACACAATAGACTTAAAATCAGCTATGTTTTGTTTGCAGAATTTTAGTAGCACCCTACGCCAGGTCAACAGGCTAAATACAAATAGCTTTATTTAAACTTCAGCACCGTGGACAGGGTTGAAAAAAAGAACTTGCTGAGTGAAGGGAGAGGGAAGAAAGGAAAAGAAGGAAACAGGAAAAGTTGGAAAAAAAATGAAAAGCAAGTGGGAGAAGAGAGGAAGGATAGATGTAAGGAGGAGAGGTGAATAAAGGGAGATAAGGAGAAGTAGGGAGAAGAGAGACAGAAAGCAAAGAAAGTTGAGGAAGACAGGTAAGCAGAACAAAGGGAAGAGGAAAGACAACGAAAAGGGAAGAGAGGATAGGAGCTTCAAAATAGGAATCAAGATCATCAAAGCAAATGGGAATATCTTGATCAGACTGCAGCAAAAACAAGCTGTTTAATGCCTTATATAGCTCTGTGATACAGAAAAAGCAAGCTCTTTGGGGAATTATGCCATGATTCACTGTGTTTGCATTTCAAAGTATCATTTGAAGCTGACAGATCAAAGATACTGAATCAGAAAACATACTAAGACAGTATATGCACTTAAAATTTAATTTTTAACTTGATATAGTGTACTTTTATTAGACAAAATTTTTAAGGTAAATAATATACTATGCACCATGTTGGTGACTATGAGGAAATCAAGAATAAAAACTACGGACCCTACCCTCGCAGAGACAAGTTAGATGTGTACATACAAAAGAACAAAATGGCTTGTGTCATAAAAAATGTTCAGGTAAAGTGCAAGGAAGTTCTAAGGTGAGACAGTTTATTTCTTGGTAAAAGAATCAGAGAGGGCCTTATGGATAGGGTGCAGTTTGAGCAGGGCTTCAGAGGATAAATAGATGTGAACATTTTCAAACAGAAGCAGAGGGAACAGTGTCTGTTGATGAAAGAGAAAAGTAAAGACAAATGCAATTCCCTTTTATTTTTTTTAACATTTTTATTTATTTTTGAGAGAGAGAGAGAGACAGGGTGCAAGCTGGGGAGGGGCAGAGAGAGAGAGGGAGACACAGAATCCGAAGCAGATTCCAGGCTCTGAGCTGTCAGCAGAGAGGCTGACGCAGAGCTCAAACTCATGGACCACAAGATCACAACCTGAGCCAAGTCAGGCACTTAACCCACTGAGCCACCCAGGCGCCCTGCAACTACCTGAGTTTTAAAGCAACCTCAGAGTGAAATCACAGTATAGTCCACCATTGTGTTTAATGCATGAATGCAAAGGGGCACTGCAGGGCCATCTGGTCCCCTTCTGTGAAACAGCCCCTTCTCAAACAGCCTCCTTTGTGTCTCATTAGCTGACTTTATTCTTCCTAGCACTTATGGAAATACAAACACGTTGTATCGTGTTTATTTATTTTCAGTCTCTCCCGTCCTCCATCTTCAGCTAAGATGTGGGTTCTATGGAAGCAGGGACTTTGTTTTGTTCTCAGTCCTCAGGCCAGTGCCTGGTTGACAACTGACCTCTCTGTAGGTATTTGTGCTACCAGGCTTATTTGACTGGTTTAAACAACCTGGCAGAAGTACATGGCAAAATTTCTTAGTTTGTGCATACTGTGAAGCTGTTATTTAAGGTAAGGAGAATATATTGTTTATTTTCCCTTTCCTTTATTATCAGTCTGCTCACAGGAAGCTTTTGCACACGTTGCCACTTCTGCTGGAAGCAATTCTCATGCCCACCAGCTGCCCTTCCCTACTCGGAAACCCCTCCTCATTCTTTGAACAGCAATGCTGACACCAAAGACCTTTTTCTGGGTGGCATCTATGATTAATTCAAACAGACTTGGGCTCTCTCTTCTCTTTTCCCATGGCACTGTCACACACTTCCCCAATAGCACTTCCATGGTAGATTTTAGTATTGTAGTCTATGGATCCGTATGTTTCCAGAACCCTAAGGCCAAGGGTGGTGTCTTATGCATCTCTGTATTCCCAGCACCTGATACTATGTCAAGCATATGGTAGATGTTCCAAATGGTGTTCAGTACCTAAAGTGGGTACAGCCTCTGTGAAATGGCAGAAAAGGGCCAAGTGGGCATCTATCTGAGCAAGCGCAAGGAGAAAAATAACCTGCACTTCCCTTCTAAGAACATGTTTTGAGACACTAGTTATGAGTCAACAGGAAAACATCATGGGCTCGCACATTTTTGTTACTGAAGATATAAGTTCAATGTGCTGCTTTAGACAGAATGTTGTCCACCAATAGGAAGGGCTCAGGAAACCAGTATAGTTTAAAACATAAATAAGCACATAAAGCATTAAACTCTTGTCCTAAAACACACTAAGAATATGAAGATTACTTTTCACTGCCATACTCCAAAACAAGTATATTTGTTCTGAATAGTCCCAGAGAAAGACAAATAAAATGGAGGGAACAATTGCCACTGGTGGCTGGACTGAAATAACCAGATTCCTTTTGTTTGGTGAGATGAGAGCCAAGAGGAAACCAGGCTGAAATCTTCAGAGTCATGAAGACCAAGGAGAGGGCAGAAGTAGTCACAGAACGATCAATCAGATGAACTAAGGCTGGGAACCAGAACACCCAACAGATTCTAAGAAGATTCTAAGCTCGGTACCCTCAGAACAGGTCAAAATTATGAACAGGTTTAAAAGGTTTAGAAACATTCATGAATAGGGGCGCCTGGGTGGCTCAGTCAGTTAAGCGGCCGACTTCGGCTCAGGCCATGATCTCGCGGTCTGTGAGTTCTAGCCCCGTATCGGGCTCTGTGCTAACAGTTCAGAGCCTGGAGCCTGCTTCAGATTCTGTGTCTCCCTCTCTCTCTGACCCTCCCCTGTTCATGCTCTGTCTCTCCCTGTCTCAAAAATAAATAAACGTTAAAAAAAATTTAAAAAAAAGAAACATTCATGAATAAAAGTTTATAAAATATTCAAGGTGTCTACCTAACTTTTTTCTTTTTTTTAAGTGTATCTATTTGAGAGAGAGAGAAAGAGAATGAGCGGGGGAGGGGTAGAAAGAGAGGGAGAGAGAGAGAGAATCCCAAACAGGCTCTGTGCTGTCAGTGAGGATCCCAACTCAGAGCTCCATCCCATGAACTGTGAAGTCATGACCTGAGCCAAAATCAAGAATCAGAGGCCTAACTGACTGAGCCACCCAGGCACCCCAAGGTGTCTACTTAACTTTTTAAAGTCCACGCCATGAAAAACAATCACACTCTTACTAAGTATGTCTTGGTGGCACACAGACACGGTCTACTGGACCAGATAAAACTTGTGTCTGATACTTGGGTTCTTTTGATGGGTGTGGTTGTTTGTATGTGTGTGAGCATAAATGTGTTTTAACAAGAATATTATCTGCTATGTGATCAATCTTAGATCAGTTACATTATTGTGATTACGAGTTTTGCCTGATTCTTTCTACAATATGTCTGTCAGTCTTTTTACACTCGGTATCATTTAATGGTTTTCCACAAGCCTAGAAGTTTCTAAAAAGAAGGTACTGCTCATAAAGCAGGTGGATTCTAGGACTGTTATTTCTGTATTTTCGGGGTTCCTTTTCCTAAGGTTCAGAGATCTCTTATCCGGTCACATTTCTGTGAACCATTTTCCCATCAAGAGGGTCCTTTCCTTTCCCCATCAAGTGGGCTACCTCAGGGGATTGGTTATTCTACACCTCCAAACTGTGGTTCTGGAAGCATAGAGCTGCAGAAGCACAGACTTTGCCTTATGGAAACTCCTGATGATATCACAGAGTCTTCCAGAATGCCAGGGAAAGCCTGAGGCAAGCCACAAATATTCAGTTTGTCTTGAACAAGTCTTCTCTCAAAACTATAGTCTTTGTGTTTCTTCTAATGATGTAACTTGTCTGAAACACCCACCTGTCCAAGGCATCATGGGAGTTATGTCGACTGAGCACCACCCTACCATAATTTTCATCTCTGCAGAGAAAGAACAAAATTAAGTCACATGCAAAGTTCCCACAGTATTTGGTAAATAAGGGAGATGGGGGAAGGAGCTCACAATTTAGGGCAAGATGAATTCATTTTATTTCAGGCATAAGAACACAACTATGCATTTATTTTTATTAGTCTCCCTTTGAAAGTGCATGATGAAAAGAAACAAGTTTGTCAGTACAAATAATCATTATTCTGATATATCCCATCAGGTTTCCATATGATTCAATAATGGGATGAGTATTTTTTTTTTTATCAGAGTGTGGGAACATGTACATATCTACCTTGTGTGCATTACAAGAGTGCTTTTCTGCAGGAAGGCAAAAGCTTTCTACAAAAATATTTTAAATTATGTCCTTTATACTTGGACATTTTCATTGGATGGACTTGATAGTTTTCCTTGACAAAAAGTAGGAAAATAAGTACCAATATTTGTGGCTAAGAAGGTGGATCATTCACAGGAGATTTAAACCATCTTTGAACCATGAGAATACATAGTTTGCTTTTTTTGGTTCTTAAAACAACCTTATGAGGGGCGCCTGGATGGCTCAATCGGTTAAGCGTCTGACTTCGGCTCAGGTCATGATCTCACACTTCGTGGGTTCGAGCCCATATCGGGCTCTGTGCTGACAACTTAGAGCCTGGAGCCTGCTTCGAATTCTGTGTCTTCCTCTCTCTCTGTTCCTCCCTAGCTCATGCTCTGTCTCTCTCTCTCTCCTTCAAAAATAAATAAAACATTAAAAAAATAATAATAATCCTATGAATTAGGCAAGGAAGACTCTGTCACATCCAATTCACAGAAGAAGAAATTGATCAGAGATTTTGCGGTTTCCCTAAGACTAAAAGGTTAGTAAGTGACAGACATGGGTCTAGGACCCAGATCTTTTTATTTCAAACCTCTGCTTTTTCCTACTGCTTAACCCTTCATACATAGCCCTTCATACATACATAAACCTTCATACATAAAATCCCAAACCATGTCTTTTTTACTTTGTACGGTGGACCTGAAAGTACAGGCAATTTTAGGAAATGTCAAAACATGTAGAAGAGCTTTGGGCATTGAACCAAAGCCAAAGAGTAAGTACCTGAACCTTTTTCATGTCAACCCAACCAAACCTGAAATACCACATTGTTCCTGGGTCTGCTCCCTTAATGTTACTCAACACTCTGGAACAATTTGTAGTAAAGCTGTACAAGAAACTGCGGTGGATAATTAAAAAGAAAGATGAACTGTGAGGTTGAAACAATCCCAGCAAATTTATACCCTCAAAAATCCCAAGAGAATTGTTTCATCTCTCTTGGTATCCCTTTCTCAAGTTTATGAGAGAGTAGTGGACACCAGACACATCCTTACCTGAAGAAGAATCGTAACACACAGCCCAGAAGTGGGCCAGTAGGAGTGGGCAAAGCATCAGAGCCAATTTCCCCCTGCATTCAGCAGCTGGCATGTCCTCTAAGCCGGCTTCCCTGAGCCTTTATAAAGGAGGCACGCCTGGCATAAAACCGTCATTCCTACCAGTTACAATTTGTCTTAGACATCTCTGTTTTCACCCATCTGTGCATATATTTGCAACACAGAATTTATGATTCACGTTTGACATCACTCTACCATTAGGGAAGACAGAAATGCCATATTAGGCTCTGACAGAAGTAGTAAATGTGTTACTAAAGGAAATAATCGTTGTCCATGAATGTTAACTCCAAAAGTCAGTGTGAGTCTCTAAATACACCTATATTCCCTTAAAATAATAATATTTAATGACAGAAACTAATAGACATCTTCATTTAATGGTTACAAGTATGTCCCGCAAATGACTGTATATGGGCAGTTTAGTAGAAAGCGTACAGTAAATATCCTGTAATGCAGAGCTTCTCAACTTTAGCACCATGACACTACAGGCTTGATAATTTTGTGTTGTGGGGAGAGCCCTGTGCATCGTAGGATGTGTAGTGGCATCCATGACCTCTACCCACTAGATGTCAGGAGCACTCCCCAATTTTGATAACTGAAAATGTCTCCAGACCTTTGCAAACATCCCCTGGGGACACAACTGCCTCTGAATGAGGACCATCAGTGTAACAGAAAGACAATGGGTCATGTTAAAAATCTCAATTCCATCACTTCATAGTTGTGGGGATTTGACAAGTTACTTAAACTTTCTGGGCCTCATATCCTTCTTCCATAAAATATAGGATGCAATAACTACCTTGTGTGATTTGTGAGATTTTTTTAATTTGAGAGAAAGGGAGAGCATGCAAGTAGGAGAGAGAGAGAGAGAGAGAGAGAGAGAGAGAGAGGAGAATCTCAAACAGGCTCCATGCTCAGTGTGGAACCGGATGCTGGGCTCAATCCCAGGGCTGTGAGATCATGACCTGAGCCAAGATCAAGAGTTGGATGCTTAACTGACTGAGCCACCCAGGTGCCCCAAGATTTTGTGGTACTTCATATGTAAAGTATGTACCTAGTATCAAGTATGACACATAAGAGGGAAACAAAAAATATATGTATATGTGTCATATAATTTGTAATAAATATATCTGGGCTGGACAAATGTCTATGTTGGCAATGAGGTGATATGCCTACAGTTGTAGTTTTTAGTTCTATAACATATAGCTAGTAGAAGCAATGCTCAAAACAGACAAAACTTTCTTGGTGGCCAATGTTTTCCCTTACAAAGTAATATTACATTTACCACCCACTGAGTACCTAGATATATATGACCATTGGGAATAAAATGAATTGAGAATGCATTGACTTCGTTTGCACATATCAAAATTTTAGATAAATTATTATTAAATTTGCAAATTAGGAATCATACTATTATTTGTTTCAACTGACATAATTAACATGCATCTGGAATCTCCCTACCATGGATTGAATATTATCTTTTGGGAAACTGGAAAGTCATGTTCTTTTCTGTTTATCAAATAAACACAAATGTCTATTCAGTTCTAACAATGAAACTCTGCTTTTTCTCCCTGATGACTCACATCCTCTTTGGTATGTGGATAATAAAAATGGTAGAGATAGTCTTGAAAATCTGAAAGCCTATATATTAGGTCATGTAACAGTGTTTTAAGGAACGTGCTTGCTTTCCAGATGGCCGCTAGCTTCCCAACTAGAGAATGGCTCTCCCTACTTGCCCACATACCCACCCTCTCCACACCCTCTTACTTTTCTTCTTCAGGACGGTTTTTGATCCAGCTGTTATCCTGCAAGAAATTCCTTCTTTTGTTCACCTCGTGGAAACCCTGTTGCCTCAGTGTGGTCCCCTGCGTGGTACTTTTCATATCTGTCAACAGAAAAAAATAAGAAACTGGGCAGTGTAATTGCATGGGGCTGAGAGTGAGTTTGTTAACCTCGATGTCTCGAGAGGCACATCTGATTGGCCAGCATCAATCTTCTAGACTGACAAGGCCAGTACTGTTTCAAAGTAGGATGTGCTGGCAAGAAAGAACAAATCCCACATCTCATCATCAAAGATAACATATAAAATTGCTTAGGTGCCAACTGAAACTGACAGTGTGGCATTCAGGAGGCCTCGTGAGGCACCCAGGAATACAGAACCATGGGCTTGAGATAAACCAAGCCGGGGTTTGATGGGTTGGCCATTTTATTTAAAAAGAAATATGCTTCAGAAGTACACACAAGATTTTTTAAAGTACCTACTAACTAAAAGTCAAGCAGGTCTGGTGCTTTTGATTATAAGTAACTGAATTATTTAATCTCAGGGGAGTCAGAAGCCCAGAATGTCCCCCACACAAAAGAACATTTGTATTGATTTTTTACAAAATCTTTGAATTGCAATTATATGAGTAAAAGCTATAGCACCCTTACATTTTCCTGAAGTCTAACTTGGCAATGCTAATTAAGTTAGATTGTTGCTTCTAAACATTCAATATCTATATAAAAGAATTAGGAGCTATGAGTTGTTTTTCTCATATACTCAAGTTTTCTGAGTACGGAAAATATTATCTACATTACCATTTCCTGTGGGAGACATTTTTCTCAAGGTAAAATTTGACATGCTGCCTTCCAGGAAGGATCTAAAAGAAAAATAGAGAGAGAGGGAGATACATAACAATGAGTCTAAGAACCTACAAGTGAGTCTTTCATTGTTAATAAAACACATTTTTCAATGACATTAAGAAAGTCACATGATCTGGTACAACAAATACATGACATAAAGTGCTCCCTAAGAACCAGAGAGTTCGTTGATTCCAACGTATTTATTTTACAGATGTAAAAATTAAGGCCAAGGGGCACCTGGGTGGTTCAGTCAGTTAAGCATCCAACTCTTGGTCTTGGTGGTTTGTGATCCCACAGTTCGTGAGATCTAGCCCCATGTCAAACTCTGGCTGACAGTGCAGAGAACCCCTGCTTGGGGTTCTCTCTCTCTCTCCCTCTCTCTCTGCCCCCCCATCCTCTCTCTCTCAAAATAAATAAATAAACTAAAAAAAAAAAAAAAAAAAAAAAAAAACGAAATTGAGGCCAAGAGCAGTTAGTGTCCCCTATATTATATAACAAGCAATTGGCTGAATGAGGCCATCAATTAACTCATTTATTCAATCAATAAATACACATCGAATGCCTATAGTATGCTTGGCACTAAGCCAGGAGCTGGAGACAAAAAGATGAGTGAAAGAAATGTTTGCTCAGGTCAATAGGGAGATAGTGACATGGAATTCACAGCACAATATGTACAGTGCCCTAAGAAAGGAAGTGACCCCTGGGGAAGCCAAAGTAAGTAACAGGGCTGAATTATGACTTTGTGAGTCCTAGACACTTTTGCTTTCATCAGCCTCTTCCCTCACACACACACACATACACACTCATGCACATGCCCACACCGTTAAAAATTATATTTTACAACTGTTAGTACAAAAGTGAAAAATAATCCAGGTTGGCTTCATTATTATATATTATTATTATTATTATATTTATTTTTTCTTCTGTTGTTATAAAGAATTAAAATTAGAAACTTTTTGTAGGCTTCTAAAGGTATACTAGGCCGTAGGCACTGCTTTTTTCTGCTTAATGGTTATGTTGGCCCTGGGCTTTCCTGAAATGTGACATTTTCAGTTTTAAAACAGAAAAAGTCCTGGGCAAATGAGGATGTGGATGCCTGGTCCCCCTACGAGGTATATTATATTTTTTGCAGAATCCATCCAACCATACAGTGTATGAAATGTTGGAGGCACATCAGATCTCAAGTCAAAAGCAAGTCATAGGCCCAGCTTTATCACATCAAAGTTATGTAACAGAACCACATAATCTCCTTGTAAAATGGGCTAATGAAACTTGCCATCATAAGCTTGTGATGATTAGGCATGCCTGGGTGCTTCGGTCAGTTGAGTGTCCGACTTTGGCTCAGGTCATGATCTCGTGGTTTGTGAGTTTGAGCCCCACGTGGGGCTGTGTGCTGACAGCTCAGAGCCTGGAGCCTGCTTTGGATTCTGAGTCTCCATCTCTCTGCCCCTCCCCACCTCGTTCCCTCTCTCTCACAAAAAATAAGTTTGTGATTGGCACTATGGGCTCATGACTACACCTGCTCTAGAGAATTGCCTTTAACTAGTGGGGCTGCCTGGTTACACACACTCCCCACACACTACAACCTGCAATGCTGAATTACCAAGGGTAAAATGTGGGTCTCTTGCCTCAAGGTAGAGCCAATTCTGCAGGTGATTTGTGCTTCAGAGCTCACTATGGGATCAGGCTGAAGCTAGACTAACAGAGAGCATATGCTTGCTCAGCCCCTTCCTCCGCCTCTTCTTCCTCCTGAGAGCCTACCCTCAATAAGTCACAGGCACCAAAATTCTTGAGCGCTGCTTCTGGGAACCCATCCTAACACTAACCACCAATGTAATCAGCCACGGCATTATCTTCACAGAGATCAGCAGCTGTTCACATCACTAATACCTGAGAGGCTGAAGGTCTTAGTGAAGTTAGAACGATGTGCATTTAAAGGATGCTATTTACTGATTGTTACTTAGGGTGTGTTGTAGTTCTGCTCAAATGAGGTGAAATACGGCTGCTTTGAAGGTAAAATTAGATGACATATGTAGAGTGTCTAATTATTGCCCAACACATGGAAAGTGCTCAATTTTTAACCTCATGCCTCTATCATCTTGGAAAGAAGAGATCAAATACAGAAGGCAGGTGTGGTTGGGTGTGGGGAGGGGATGGAACAGCCTTGAATTTGGGCCACTGGGTGTGCAAGGAGTGTGGGCAACCTCTGGCTGGCTGTTTCTGAAGCTTGCTAAAATTTGGCAGAATTGGGTGGAAAAGAGGCATGTGAAGACACACTTCAATCTCAGCTACTTCATTTCCCCCTCAGTTTGGCCCAGCTTCTCTGGGTTCTTGGCTAGCCTTTTCCTGTTTCTAAGTGGGCTCCAATAAATTCTCTTCCTGAGCTGTAAAGATGTGGAGAGTTCATAGCTGACTGAAATGAGATTCTGAGGTGGTCAAAATACTGAATGTATATTTGATGATATATTTGTAAACACTGCAAATTTAAGTGTAAGATACAGGCCAACGTAAATGGAGAAAAGGCATTTTACAATTGTCTATTTGTCTGTCTCTTTCAAAAGACTGACAGTCCTGTGGGCAAGACCTGAGTCTTTCCCTTCTAGATCTCTGGCGCCTGGGACAGACAGAGTAGATGCTCCTCAGGTGCCTATTATGGGCTGTATTGTGTCTCTCTCAAAATTCCTATGTTGAAGCCCAACGCCCAGTACCTCAAGATGTGACTGTATTTGAATACAGAGCCTTTAAAGGGATGATTAAGTTAAAGTGAGGCCATTAGGTGGGCCCTAATCCTACCTGTCTAGTGATCTTATAAAAGGAGGAATTTGGGACATACAAAGAGACACCAGGGGTGTATGTGCAGAGAAAAGGACATGGGAGGACACACAAAGTGGCCATCTGCAAGCCAAGAAGAGAGTCCACAAGAGAAACCAAACCTGACAGCACCTTGATCTTGGATTTCTAGCCTTCAGAACTGTGAAAGAATAAACTTCTGTTGTTTAAGTCAACTAGTCTGTGGTATTTTGTTATGGCAGCACTAGCAAACAAATAGGGTACTTATGGGAAACATGATTTAAACATTTCTAACATAGTTAGGTCATTCAAAGGGCTTTGTGTCACCCTGTCTCTGACCTGTGCCCTTTGTGTCTTCAACTGTCCTACTGCACAGGGCAACTACTAATAGCAAGAGCATCTGCTCTGAACAGGATACCTCACAGGCATTGTCTCATCCTTGCATAAGCTCTGTGAGTTAGCTATTATTACTTCCATCTCCCAGATGAGACAACTGAATCTCAGGGAGAGTATGTAACATACCTATGGTGGGAAGAAGCAGAATCTGTCTTCTAAACCAAAGGCAACTCTTCCGTATCAACCAGCAGCAATGCTCATCACGAATCATTGCAAGACTAGACCGGTACCCTGACATCAGGGTGAGAAGAAAGGGGGACAGAAGCGGCCCACCGGATTCTAGACATTTCACTCTTTGGAAGTCCCATGAGCTCTGGCCCCTAGTGCTTGGCAGTAGGAGCACCAGGACAGCCTCTGCAGCAAACAAACCCTCACAGAGAAGGCTTCTCTGTGCACTCCTTGATATTCTCTTGGTTATGAACATACGTCTACACAAAAAACTTGTGCAAGAATGGTCATAGCAGCATTATTCAAAATAGCCCAAAGTGGAAACAACACAAATGTCCATCAATGGATGAATGGGTACATAACATATGGTATATTCATATAATATGAAAATGCTATATTCATACATATTACTCAGCAATTGTTAAAAGCTGAAGTATTGGGGCACCTGGGCGGCTCAGGACATTAAGCACCCAACTCTTGATTTTGGCTCAGGTCATGATCTCACGGTTCTTGAGACTGAGCCCCACATCAGGCTCTGTGCTGACAGTATGGAGCCTGCTTAGGCTACATACTACAACATGAATGAAGCTTGAAACATGCTAAATGAAAGAAGCCAGACATAAAACACCACATTTGTGTGATTCTATATGGATGTTGTTTATTAGATTTTCTTTGGTATTCTACTCACATCCCACCTCAATTCTCCTCCCAAGCAAGGCTTCTGCTACCCCTTTAAGTTCTGCTGGGTAAGAAGGAGAGTTCAGACAATAATAACACTTTACATAACTTTATAGAACTTTATAATTTATCCCATTTGGTTTCCACAACATTTAAGAGTGATATAATTCCACAACAACATGGGTGGAACTAGAGTGTATTATGCTAAGTGAAATAAGTCAGACAGAGAAAGAGAAATACCATATGATTTCACTTATATGTGGAATCTAAAACAACAACAACAACAAACAAACAAATAAAACAGAAACAGACTCATAAATACAGAGAACAAACTGGTCGTTGCCAGAAGGGATGGGGATGGGGGAATTGGAAAATAGGTGAAAGGAATTAAGAAGTACGAACTTCCAGCTATCAAATAAATAACTCATGGAAGTGAAAGGTTCACCATGGGAAATACACTCAATAATTTTGTAGTAACATTGTGTGGTGATAGATGGTAACTGCATTTACAGTAGGGAGCACTGAGTAATATAAAGAATTGTCAAAATCACTACATTGTATACTTGAAATAAATATAGCATTGCATGACAACTGTACTTCAATTAAAAAAAATACAGTGATCTAATCCCTACTTTGCAGAGGCAGAAGCAGAGACTCGCCTCAAATAGCTAATGAGTGGCAAAGCTGGGACTCGACCTGGGGCTTTCTAGCTGGAGGCTCATCATTATTTCCTCTATGCCAGAGACTCCCACATCCTCAGCACTTCCTGCAGAGTTGTACAGAGAAAAGCAGGTATCTCCTCTTTACCTTATATTTAGAGAATGGCCCTAATCAGATCCAGCATTCTGCTAGAGGGTCTGATATTTTCATGCCTTCTGTAGCTAGGCATTCTCCAAAAGGCCTGGTTAAATGGAGTCAAAAGAGATAAGACATCCAAGAAACTCATGTCCCTTAACCTCTTTCTCCCGGACAAGCTTCGGGTGTCCTGTAAACACCTCACTGGCTCCACCCCAGAGTCTCTGTAATACTTTCTAGGAAAGGTTCCAACAATCCCACTTGCTCTAAGAAACTTGGTTCTATCCTGTTGCCTCTTCCAATGAAAGTCCCTGGGAAGGACTTAGCTTTTTGTGCTTCACTCTCCCTCTTCTCTCAAAGTAGGATGCCATGCAGAAGGTAGGAGCCGCCATCTTGGGACCATGGACTAACCATGAGGACTAAGGTCGTATACTACGAAGGGCAGAGTGGGAAGTTGAAGGAAACTGGTGCATTGACAGTATCACAGAGCTGCCACCATTGACCTGGATTATCTATCTCTTGACTTCTCCTTGGAAGAGAAAAAGAAACCTACCAGTTCATTCAGAAGATTGTTTCTCCATATTTTTATTACTCAAGCTTAATGTTCTTCCTGCCTATTATGAGTCCTTTGTGGAGCAAGTAGAAGGTGTAGAAGGTGTAAGGTGTAAAAAAGCCACGATGGCCTACAAAATATAAGATATCTGTGACTCTTTTATCAGTAAAACACTATTTCTTACTGGGGCGCCTGGGTGGCGCAGTCGGTTAAGCGTCCGACTTCAGCCAGGTCATGATCTCGCGGTCCGTGAGTTCGAGCCCCGCGTCAGGCTCTGGGCTGGTGGCTCAGAGCCTGGAGCCTGTTTCCGATTCTGTGTCTCCCTCTCTCTCTGCCCCTCCCCCGTTCATGCTCTGTCTCTCTCTGTCCCAAAAATAAAAATAAAAAACGTTGAAAAAAAAAATTAAAAAAAAAAAACAAAACACTATTTCTTACAATATGTCCATGTGTTTAATGTTCCTAGCAAGAAGGATTCCTTGTTGAGTCCCTACTATTGCTTCACATGCTTTGTGCATATTATTTTATTTAATCCTTCCAAATGAGTACTACCACCTCTAATTATAGGAATCCAAAACTCAGAGAGGTTAAATAACCTGCCCAAGGTCACACAGTAAGTGGCAGAACCAGGAATTATAATTAGGTCCACACTAGCGCAATGCCAAGGCTGTTTTGAGTACATGATACTACATGTTGCTCAAAGTACTGTGTGATATAGCCAACACCAGACACTCAGGGAAATGCCCTGGAGTTCCAAAAGATGGGAGATAATGGAAGAGGAGCTGGGAGGAGCAGTAGTAATGAACGGTTGTTCCAGTATCCCCGGACAGCTCAGCCTCGAGCCTCACCCCTCCCGAATCTACACTCAAGTCATGAGTGGCCTGGCACTATTCCTGATTGGACTCCTTTCCTGGATAGATCTCCCTGCTAGATAACTTAATAATGTTTTATACTCTTCCCTAGCCTATTGTGTCCACTGACACAAAGTAAATGAGAAAAGAACATGTAATATATTCTATTTTCAGGTGGTAATAGTTTAATAAATATACAGAGGGTTTTTTTAATGAACGTAACTAATATTGCGAGAAAATAAATTTTTCTCATTAAATCTGCATGTGTTCCTCTTATACCCCTCACACAATCTCCTTCAGCCCCACCTTTGTGTCTATATGTGTCTGTAAGGTATCTAATAATGCTGCCTTAGTAGCCTCAGTTCAGCCAATTTGACTTATTTCCAAGTGCTGTCCTTCAGTTTCATTCCAAATAAGTTTTTTAACTTCTCAGGAGAAAGATGAGACTCTAACATTGGCTCCTCAAAACACTGTTGCCAGTGCATATGCCTCACTGATGGCAGATTACCAGTAGCTCTATTTTATTTTATTTTTTATTAAAAATATTTATGTATTTTTGAGAGAGAGTGTGTGTATGCAAGTGGGGGAGGGGCAGAGGGGGAAGGAGAGAGAGAATCCCAGGCAGGCTCCACATTGTCAGCGCAGAGCCCAATGTGGGGCTTTGACCCACAAGCCATGAGATCATGACCTGAGCCAAAACCAAGAGTCAGACACTTAACTGACTGAGTGACCAGGCACCCCACAAGCAACTGTATTTTAAATGTGGTATTTTATGGGAAAAGATGTATGAAAGCTGTTTGTCTCTATTATACTGGGAATTTAAAAAAACATTTTCCTTTAAAGCATCAAATGCTTAAGTTGAAAATTCTAGTATGAAATCATGACGTCAAGTCAATAAAGATAGAAAAACTTTTCAGCCTCTGGATCATCTTTCATTTCCCCTTTGTGGCCAAGCAGCAGAAAGAGCTGGTTTTTACCCGATGCTCACTGCCTACACACAAAGACATCTGTCCTTAGGTTTTAGATGAAATCATTCTCCTTAAGCTCTGAATCACAGAAGCAATTAAGTTTCTTAGTTCTCTTTGGATGTATTTGTAACTATCAAACATCTCCTATTTCTTTGATTTGTCTTCTCAGTTTTTCTTCATCTCCTTATGGTCTGTCTCAATTTTCTTCAGTTTTCTATTTGTAATAAGAGCATTTCCCCAAGAGCCCTTAGGTCTGTTAGGTTAAACCCAATCTCAGTCCCAGCTCCACCCGTCCCAACCCTAAAAATTTCCGGGGCCACCTCCTAAGCTACACTCTTTTCCTTCATCATTTGGGTCTTCTTGAAAAAAAGACTGTGAATCGGTCTTCCCATCCCACACAAGGGCAAAATGACTCTTGGCTTACCTAATAAGGCCTTCACTATTCTCTGCTAACTTTCTATTCAGAAAGATCCAGTGAGCAAAGAAACCGGAATGGGTGTTGCATAGAGGAAAGGGAATATGAAAAATGAGGCAGAAAAGAGCAGAATATAGGCTAACAAACTAGAGGATGAAAGAAGAAAGGGAAAAAATAAAAATAAAAAAATCAATTCTGACCACTGGTCATATGATAGTGTCAGCTCTATTGAGTTCAGATTTTACATGTATTATCTCATTTAAGACCTACACAATGCTTTAAGTTTGATGCTGTTATTATCCTCATTCCACACTTAAATGAAACTTTATGATGAATTATTTCAATGAAGTCAGACTCTTTGCAGAAGGTAGGGCAAGAGTTGGAAATGTGGGCAGTGGCTGAAAGTAGTTGTTTCTGGAAAGAGGTTTTAGGATGAGTAGCTTACCTGAGGCTGCATAGCTAGTGCACAGCTGGTATTCAACCTGGTAATGAAGTTCCTGTCCCAGAAGCCCAGGAAACAAAAGGGACTGATGGGTGGAAAGTGACAGGCTAAAAGAAAGGGTGAGAAGAATGACTTTTCCTCCACTGTAGATTGCTGATGGACCTCAACCGAGAGTAAGATTGGAGTAGGCTTTCTTGGATCATTGTACCAAGGTATGCAGAGATCTGCATTGAGTGATATTTTGATATTTTAACTCCAAAATCTTCCAATTTATCAAACTTCTTTTTTATTTTTAAAAAAATTAAAAAAAATTTTTTTTAATGTTTATTTATTTTTGAGACAGAGAGAGACAGAGCCCGAGTGGGGGAGGGGCAGAGAGAGAGGGAGACACAGAATCTGAAACAGGCTCCAGGCTCTGAGCTGTCAGCACAGAGCCCGATGCGGGGCTCGGACCCACGAACCGTGAGATCATGACCTGAGCCGAAGTCGGACGCTTAACTGACTGAGCCACTCAGGCGCCCCTCAAACTTCTAATACACCTTATATCTTTATGAAAA